TTAATAATTCATGGAACAGAAGGTAAAAATAATACTTTTTGGTCTTAGCTTAGAGTTATAGAGTAATTAATGTGTTTTTCCTTTTGTGTTTAATTGAAGGTGTTGTTAGTCTTCCAACTCATTTTTGGGCTCCAACTCGAATTGTATTACCAAATGGTCATCATGTTGATCATCATTTACCTGAAACAATTAGAAAAACAAATTTTGTGCATTCAGCTGGTCTTCGTTATGAAGCAATTGCATGTCGTGATCAAATCATGAGTGGAAAAACTGAACATCCACTGATGACACTTGAAAATTCATTACAAATAGCTCGAATTGTTGAAGAAGCTCGAAAACAAATTCTTTCTTCCAAGCATTAACTGTTTTATTGGATTTATAAAAAAAAGGAAACCATATGATGATGATTTAAAAAAAGAATGTTGATTTAATTTTTAGATTTAGGAACCACTACTTTTTAATAAAAACGAGTAAAATAATTATCTAACTCAAATCAATAATTTATTTATTAATAATTCCTTCATTTCTCAGTAAAATATATCATGCAAGTAGTTGACAATAAATCGATATGTGGAGAGGAGATAGAAGTTCTAAAGCAATTTTAAGATAAATTCTTCTCTCATTCAACAAAAGCAAACTCTTGAAAACTTTGGCAGGTTTGAGCATCTACTTCATACTGAATACACAAGTTTTCAAATTTATGGCTATCTTAATGGATGAGAAACTGTCGGAATACTATTTTTAGCAGAAAAAAAAAGTTTCAGACAAAATGTTATTTTTCAAGGTGATTACGATCATAAACTAAGGATACGGATAGCTTTGAATAATGTTAAACATATGTTTAGACTGTGGTGTGAATCTTGTGAGTGAGATTGAACAGAAAATTAACATCCCTATAACCTAGATTTCAACGATGCTCTTTCAGATATACTATGCCTCAGCTCACAATTATGGTTTTCAATTTGGTCGATCTTGGAAAAACTGCTACTTCGGAGGCCAGAATCTTTGATATATTGTCTGTATTTAGCACAAAACTTGTGAAATTTCAATTTCTTGCTGCTATATTATTGAGTTTTTACAAATAATTACTTCGAGCATCACTGATCGATATTAAAAACAACGTTATCGATCTCTTTTAGCTGCATAACGGTTTTGTTTTGATGTTTTTTAAGTTGCCGACTGTGAATTATAAGTGAGATACATATCAATATAAGTCTTACAACTGTTACTCATCTAAAATCAATGAAAAGAACGAATTTCAAATGAATTTAAATTCTAGTTTTTTATTTTTAACAGTAGCTGAAGAGAATGTAATGCACAATATCAGAAAGAAAGACTATCGAAATGACAGAATTTACTTTTGCAGAAAAACTGCAAAAGTAAATTCTGTATAAACTAACTTTTATGTTGGAAAGTACTTGCATTGTGTAATTATCTTTTTTACCACTATTATATAGTGACGAATAACATTTTTGAACACGGATTACGACAAAATTCATAAAATTCTTCTTTCTATGACAAAATCTTAAATTGAGCAGAGCCGTTCATGGATTACATGGACTAGCTCATAAAGTGTTTCTTTATATGAAATTTGATGTTATAAGAACGAAGTACATCTAGATTAATACGTACAAAGTCAAAAATTCTTTGAAACAAATAAATCGTCTAATATCAATGTATGAAGTTGAACAAGTATATGTTTTTGAGTTAAAGAATTATCGTAGATGTTTTTAGATGTTTAGTAGCTGTTATTTCGACTATGCTACTTGCCGTCATTAATGTTTCATTTGAAGAGAAAATTCTGACTTGTGTTATCGACTCATATTAAATCAATGATCAGTCGAATGTATTCATTTTTAATATGATATCTATGAATAACAACCGAAATAACTGAGATGAAAACAAATTTCCTTTCGAATTTGAACAATTTTAAAACTCAAGTTAATTGATACGTTCTATTGACTATGAAATAGACAACTAAGTTATCACCTAATGAATACACTTCAAGTGGATTTCAAAACAATATTTTGCAAGAAAATTAAAAGAGATCAGATTGAACTGATATTGAAAGAAATCACACAATGACGTCGTTCGTAATCACGTAGGAGTGGGAACGAAGTCTTTAAGAACGAGTTGGAGTGTGAAGCAATCCATCTCTGAAAGATTTTATTTTGTCCTTTTGTGAGTAAAATATCTGATAGATATCATTGATCAAGATCATTGAGAGTTTCTTCTCAAACTTTTGTCTCACCAATCACACTCTGACATTGACTTGTGCATTTTGTACTCTTTCCGGACTTGCCTATTGTAAGAAAATGACAATTATCATATTGGCTACCAAAGGATTGATGATATTACAAAAATTTGGCTCGATTTTTGATAATCAAAAAGTTTCTAGTAAAAGATGACAAATATTTTTCTAAATATAAAACTCATTTTAAATATATGACGTTCGGTGGTGAAAAAGATGCATTAAATAATTTTTCTTCTCTTCTCTTGACACTCATTTTACAATGACACAATAGTTGTTTTACGCTGTTTTAGTGTCAAAATTATATTAAGCAACAAATCATATTTAAATCGATTCAAATTTTATTAAAGATTGGTTAAAATTATATAGTTTTAGTTGATTCAATCAAAAATAATCCAAAAAACAAAATCAAAATTTCATTGATTATTCGATTAATTTTGATGTTAATTGATTCAATATTGATAAAAAAAAACATCGACTGTATTGATGCAAACCGAAAACAATTGAATAAAGATTCTATCATGTATCATCAAAGCAAAATTAATAGAAAGCGATGTTTTCTATTATTAAAACTGAATCAGAATAATCAATGAAACATTGATTTTTTTTTGGATTATTTTCTATTATAATTGGTTAAAGATGCATAATTTGAACCGATTTAATCTGTTTTTTCATCTAATGCTTTTACACGGAAAAGATCGAGCATTAAAATATGCTCAGAATTGATTACGAAAAAGAGAAAGATTCAATTGAAAAAACATTTTTAATCATCAAAAAAAGTACCAATCATCATGTTGCCTTATATTGAACATTCTAAATCTTCGACTTTTATTGTTGATACAAATTGCCACAGCTAGAGAGATCTTTTATTGCACAAAACTCGTAAGCAGTTCACGCGCGTTGAGCCACCGCTAGAGTGCAAAGCTAGATGAGCAAGGTATCGTTAAATATTAATGCAAATATGATCTGCATTACAAAATTATATTCGAGGATAGTGTTACGATTAATCAACAATTTTGAATAAACAAATAGATTAGGGGGAACGAAATTTACGAGAAATTACGACAAAGCAGAGGACTCAAGATATGTCTGAAGAAATAGTGTGGTATAAGAATAATTTAGCTCGAGAAACATCAATGTTTATATGGGAGTAAACAGTGAATGACACACACAATTACCGTAAAGATCAGAAAAAGTGACTAGAATCCATTTGTTCTTTCCAAAGACTTCTTCTATTAGCTATTCAAAAGCATGGATTTTAACGAGACGGAGAACTTTCAGCCAGAGATGAGTAGAATTCCAAAAATCGAGCATCAGAAGTTGATCCTAGTAGTCATGAGTATAAAGAGTCAGATTCCATACTATTCTTTACAAGGATTATGGAGGTTCACTGATGCATTCGATTTTTTCGAGATCATATTTTGAGTGATGCGAAAAAACAATCTGGAAAAAGCTGCTGCTGCTGCTGTTTTCAACAAGAAAAATAATTAATATACAAGTAACCCAAGAGATTCAATCCGACCTGTGGATCCTACCGGAAACCGATTGGATCCGAAACGGATTGCATCGGAATCCGACGCCTTCCGTTAAAACCGATCGGATCCGAACCAGTTTGCGTCGGATTCCTTGCACAGGATTCCGTACCGGATTACGTCGGAAAATATCCGTTCGACGGATTCAAACGGATTTCAAATCCATCCGACAGAATCCAACCGAGCGGCTTTGCCTTGGGAATCTATCAATAGAAAAATCTAAAAACACTCAAATGATTACTAGCTTGTAGAATAAAATGAGAAATACTTCATCTAATAAATCATTAGCTAGAAAAGTTAAATTTTTGTTTGAGCTTGGTTCATGTTATGGACTCTAATTGACTCGAAAAATAAAAATATAATAAATGATGCTAAACTTATGTCAACTGTGGTAAGAATTGCTCAAGATATCACAGAATATGATCTTATTTGTAATGGTGAAATTTATTTGCTTGGCCAGGTCAATCTAAAACGGATATCAGTCATAGTCTGTTTTCTGCCAGTAAATAGTGGCAAAACAATAATTTTACGACAGGAAATCGACTGTATTTTCTTGTAACCCTGTCCACGAAAATACGACACCGTATATGATAGCACATTTTTGCCGTATACAGTCATATATGTGTCTTAATATTAACCTGAAACAATTAAAAAACCAAATTTTGCGCATGCAGCTGGTCTTCGTTATGAAGCGATTGCATGTCGTGATCAAATCATGAGTGGAAAAACTGAACATCCATTGATGACGCTCGAAAATTCATTACAAATAGCTCGAATTGTTGAAGAAGCTCGAAAACAAATTCTTTCTTCCAAACAGTAATTGTTTGATTGGATTTATAAAATAAAAATAAATGCGGAAACTTCGGATTTAAATCCGAGAGTTATGTGTACTTCAAAAAGTGAATGGGACAGATGAGTCATCCTAGAATGTGTGGGCATAAAAATGATCCTGGCAAACCTTTTCTATAAACAGTTGATTTCTATTGGCTACTGCTCAACCACTAGGATTTAGAGATGAATAGAGCTCAGATTTGAACTCTTCGCCTTGATTTATCCTAGGAAAGTCGTTTTTCCGATAACTTCATTTCTATTGGTTACTGCTCAACCAATAGGAGTTCGAGGCACACGGAGCTCAGATTGGAGTTCTCCGACCCAAAAAACCTCGAACTGTCATCTCTATGATCGAAAGACAGAGCTCGAATTGTCGATCAATTAGAGTGTGAACACAAACAGAACCAATTCTCGTTTAATTACCCTTGCAATAGGTGAGTTAGTCTTCTTATTTCTTTATGTTTTATATACCATTTTGTAGCTCGTGAAATTCTCTATCGAATAGTGTATAATAGTTGGGGTTTCATTTGACTATAATAGGAAAAGGTTTTTAGGAAAGCGGGTATAGGTCGATTTTCGTATAGGAAGGCATAGGGAAAAATGACTATTTTTGCAATAACTCAGGAACGGCTCGGCCAATCCTTCTCATCTTCGAACTCGACCGAGATATTGTTGAGACTAAGCTGTGTAGAAAATTTCATCGCAATCGGACTCTCCTTTCAAAACTTATCGTTTAAACGGCCGGACG